CTTAACTCCCTCATGAGAACGGATCCGGGTTGAGGAGGAGGGGGAGAGAGCGAGAGGGATAGATTCAGCTCTTCTACTCTCAATAAAAAACAAATCTCGAGCAGTTCAACGTCTCTGCTCCTATTCTGCTGTCGAGCAATCAGTGGACATCGTTGGAAAGGACGTCCGAGATGTCATGTCGTCGTGCTTTCAAAACCGGTCACGCGGTAAATGCTCTGTACCAATGGAGGTGCCAAACGTGGACGCCTCGGACGTTTTTCGGTGATGTGCACCCATGAAAAATGTCACATAGAGGCCACGATAGATGCGGGTGTTCGCTGTACCAGCCCCCTGCTTCCGATCTCTCCTCCGGTACTCTTGTCTTTGCTATGACAGGGAGCTCAGATGAATGAGGAGAAGAGAGTGCGATAGATGCTGCGCGCGTCTGCCATCAATGCAAACCAATTCACCTGCTAGTCACCGTCCCTGCGCCTCCCCATGCTGTGAGGCACACGGTGGATATTTTTCCAGTGGAATTTACAACAACAACAACAACAACAAATTCCATAAGATTTCAAGTGTGCAGTGACTTTCCACACACGACAATGCAAAGGAAGGCAGTTGCTAGTGGACATTCTACGGTCGTTTGCGTTCTCAGTACTGTCTTAATTTCGTTCATTCGACTAAATCGACACTAATTGGAATTTCTTAAGGAATGCCAATGTGGACTAATAAGAAGCTGTGAAACTATCGATCGGACATTCGCCGTCCACGAACGGAGGGGAAACTGCGAAGAAACTAGGAGCAACCCCACATTACTTTTGTGGACATAATAAATGCCTCAATCAAAGACTGTGTGCATGACTGCGAGGAACAGAGAGTTGGAGCTGAATACATAACGTTGCTTAGATCTTTTAGCATTCGATTTTCATTAACTTGGGTTAGTCACTGATATACGGAAGATAGTGGGGTTAGATCGCAGTTGGTAGCCAGGAATGGGGAGGCGGAAAGCCAGGTCCCTGTCGTACGCGAATGTTGGGGAGGGGGGTTATATGGGTGGGGTAAATGGAAGGATTGGCAGGGGAATGCTGGAGATTCTGGGTAAAAGTAAAGTTACCAGGGAAAATGCTGGGAAGTTTTCAGTAGGCGGAATAATGGCAGAAATGTAAACCCTACACTTAACCCTAAAATCCAACACTGACTGCAACCGTAAAGCATAACTCTAAGTCTCAAAACCGAAACGTTACCGAAATCCTAAAATCCTACGCTAACCCAAAACCTAGCCATAACCCTAACCTTAACTGTAACTCTAACGGGAACCTAAGCCCTTACCCTAACACTAAAACCCAACCCCAAAACGAAAACCGTAATCCTAAAACTTAACCTACGCCTAACCCTAACCCTCACTAAACCCAACAGCCTGACCGAAATGGGCGACCTGCCTAACTCAGTAAGAGCACACCTACTGATAACAAGTTCCCTAGACAAGGTAAGCACACCTACTGATAACAAGTACGTACGTCAACAGTATCACCGTATAATGTCTGGCTACCAACTGCGATCTTACCGATAGTGGACATGCTTCAAGTGGCGACGAAGGACCATGACGAGGAATTCAGGGAACATATCAACGGATCTTGCCTTACACCTGTGGATGTATCTCAACATCATTTCAAAAGAAATGGAGATAAATGGCTAAATCGCAAGTAGACTC